GGGTGAGGTGCGGGGAGGTGGGGCACATGACAAAGCCCCGCCCCCTGCTTCTGGCCGCCCCGCTTCCGGCCCTCATTCAGCCAGGAGGAGGCAGGAGAAGAGGGAGGGTAAGTTGCTTCCTCCCTGCCTCCGCAAATACCCACAAAGAAAAGAAGACCCAGTATGACATTCAAGTTCATTGGTAACAGTTCATTTATCTCAAAGGTACCTTCATACCTTTCCCCCAGAAACTTCATAACTATTTAGATTTTTGAGTCCAGCAGCTCCTTAGAGACCAACAAGGTTTCCAGAGTATAAGTTTTCAAGAGTCTGACCTGTTTGTCCAGTGTAGAGAGTGGAATGGCACTGCTGGCATTTGATGGCAGGTATAACATTGGAAAGCAAATGAATCTGAGATGGTGTGGCTGGTGTCGTTAGGTCCAGTGACTGTGTTGTCCGAGGGGATATGGGTACAGAGTTGGCATCATGGTTGGTTGCAGGCCCTGGTCCCAGAGTCTGTGTCCATGTTAGGAAGGGCATTGCTGTGAGTGAGAAGTTGTTTAAGGTTAGGAGACTTGTCTTTGGGCAAAAAAAGGTTTGCCTCCCAATGCCTATGAGAGTGGAGTATCATTGTCCAACTTAAGTCGTAGGTCGTTAATGATGCATTGAACCGGTTTGAGCTGAGAGCTGTATCTGACAGTCAGTCGTGCTCTGTTGTTGTTTTGTTTGGGCCTGTCTTGTAGCAGTTATCCCTTGGTATCATTGTGAACTTGTTGATCTGTTTATTTACTAAATCAGGTGGTTATTGTAGTTCCAAGAAAGTCTGTTGTAGATCCTGCAGGTGAGAATCACTGTCTAATACACTGAAACAGATACATGTGTCATCTAGAGTAAGGATGTGCGCTTGGTATATACCGAGCTGAATAAATACCCGAAAAGTACTTCATTGGTATTTTTCAGCTGTTTATTCAGCCGAATACAGAATGTACTTGGCTAGCGATATAGCTGAGCCCAAATAGAAGCCGATATTATTTGGCTTTTACTTGGGTGTGGCACGGCTATACCGAGTCAACCCCAGCAAGGCGGTGCAGTGCTGAAACTTCTGCGCCGCCCCAGTTGATCTTCTCTTGCAGCTCCAAGCTGCGAGAGAATGAGCTGTGGCGGCAGGAGCTCATCAGTGCTGTCTTACATAGTATGCTTATCAGTGCCGTCTTATACAGAGTTACACCCTTCTATGCCCAAAAATTCAGTGACCATAACTCCACTCAGGACTATTCAGGTATACCGTTTCTCCATGAGTGGGTGTTCAAAATCCTAGAGGAAACATGTGAAGTGAATAATCTTTCTTTATCTTCTGGGAACAGAAGATTCCTCATTTAGTGGGAAAGGAACCTTAGGTTTCTACCCCGTGTCAACTAGCAGTCATTTTTGGTGAAGGCCATAGAATAAGGCTATTCTAACTTGTGAATATGCACAAGACTTGTTAGCCACATATTTAAGATTGATTTTGTATGCATCATTGCACAACAGACCCGTTATGTATCCTACAGCTCTTTGGATCCCACATGCCCTTTCCTCATACTGTTAGTTCATATTTGAAATTCACTCTGAAATAGCCCAGTCCCCTCTTAGGCCCTAAGTTGAAATAGTAATAATTTACTGGAAGTTCATCTTCTGTAAATCTTAATAAAAAACAAATGCTTAGGTCACACCGCTGTTCTTGTGCTCGTACTATTTTCTACATGTCCTTTCTCGCTCTCACAACTATATTCTCACAATTTACTTATTAAAATAATTATCTGCTTTCTGAGTAAAACTGTGGGGAGTGGAAGGGTTTTTTTTAATTAATACAATCCTGGTCTCTTCTCCAAGATGTTCTCCATCTGGATTTGATAATTGTCTCTTTTGTTGGCATTTTATGTTTACTGTTTTTTGGAGCTTAAAGGAGATAGTCCGTAAAATAATGTGACCACAACTTTTTGTGCCAGGATTCTGGAACTGTACTGTAAAAACGATCCAGTTCTTCGGGCTTGAACCCACAGTGTCCAAATTAAAACCGTTCAAGCAGAGCAGACCTCCCTCTCTGAGTTGAATAGTTGAGCCAGTCCTCAAGAAGACCTCAATAAAAGTTGGGATTCTAACAGGTAACGGCCATATATTGAATGTGCTGGTGGGTCACTTGAAAGACTGAAAGAATTTTAGACTTTGACCATTAGGTTTGAGGGTAGCAGAAAAGGGGGGGGCCTGCATTAGAACCATCCTAAGATTAACCCCACACTGAGGCAGAATTTGCAGCACTTTCTTCCCACAGCAAAAACTGTTAGAATACTTTTCAGCTAATCAGGCAGCCCTCCAAAATTCAATTCTTGTCCTTCACAGGCTACTTGTAGGCAGGGGTCATTTTGTAGAAAAGGAAGCGCAGGAGCTCATTAGCATAACTCATTAGCATGACTTACTTGCATACGCCACACCCCCTGACATCACCAGAAGTGTGTCAGAAGGCAACACCCACTGCAACTTACCTGGCTGCTTCTTGCGCCTCGTGGCCCGGGGCTGCTGGGAGCAGTGGGCGGGGCTTCTTGCATGTGCCCGACCCCTGGGCTCTTTACTGCCGGAGTTGCGCTCCTGTGCGCTCCTGCAGGAAATGACCCCTGCTTGTAGATCTGCGTATGGTGAAAAACAATGAACCAGGGCATATTTACCCAGCAGTCTCACTCATCGAAGGCAAGGAAGGGCAAACTGTCAGCTGGTTAAAAGCCTGCAAGTCTTCCTGCAGGCATGGTGTTTTCATAGCCCTTCTCTATTAAGAGAAACCCCTTCTCTGTTAAGATAATGTGCCAGAGTGTGGCATTCTCAGTAACCTACTAAACACTGTATACTGCTGTTGCCTCCCTCATATACTGTAAAGCTCCACCCTGTGGAGATCCGTGAAGTTTCCAGAAATGTTTTGGGATGGTCTTTCTGATACCTTCAGTCTCAAGGAAGAATAAGTATAAAATATTGCTCTAACAACGAGTACCTGAGCTTCTGGAAAGCCGCTCAACCAGCTGTAGTAAAACTTAATAAAGCAAGTGACGGAAGCATCCATCATTTGAATCTGTAGTTTTCTTTCCCTGATAGAACTCCTGTCTCCTACTGGTTTCTCAGGGAGACTCTAAAAATCCATAACGAAACGTAGAATTACTGCAAAGTGCCATATATTCTCCATATTCAATATAAATCTGCTCCCCCCTCACAAGAACAAACACCAGCATCGTTCTTCATTCTTGCTTTCGCTTCATGATCAGCTGAGAAAACCAATGGAAATGGACCGTTTTTAGTTAGAAGGCCTTCATACCCCTATTCTCCAGTCACCTTTCCATAAAACTCACTGCTTCTTTTTTTTCCTTTTCTTTCTGTGCTGGGATTGAAGGGTCAGCGAAAGGGTCTTGGACAACGTTATTTATTGTTTCCTCTAGGAATTGGCACCCTCTGACTTAAGAGGCTGTACATGGAAATATAAGCGACGGCTGCTTTTTGCTCTAATGTAATTCCATTCACAGAAGTGGGGTTGTCTTTCCAGATTTTCAATGTTAGGTGTTTTGCAGGGGGGTAAAAAACCCCAAAACCAGGGAAAATCTGTAGTTCTCTGAATTTCACCCATTTATTTGGAGAGCACAATGTATATAGTATCAAGCAGTGTTCCCTCTAAGCTGAGTTAGTGCGAGCTAGCTCACAGTTTTTTAGCCTCCGGCTCACACATTTTTGTCTTAGCCCGGGAAGGATGGCTCCAGAGCAAACTAATTTATGCAACAGCCAAATCACTTGCTCACAACTTTGATGCCACTAGCTCACAAAGTAGAATTTTTGCTCACAAGATTCCACAGCTTAGAGGGAACATTGGTATCAAGGTAGGATTCTGCATGCATTCCTGAATTCCTCGTTTAAGTAGGTGTAAGTCAGACTGATCCTCTGCAAACAAGTGCCGTGGTGTTACGAACAAATCTGCATGTAACCTTTTCTTTATTGCAAACGTCTTTGTATAACGCCTAGAATCTTTCATGCAATTAGCGAGTGGGTTGAAACATCCACTTCAAGCCATCAGTCAGACATCATGAAAAAAAATCCGGTTTGTGATTTCTTTCTTGCCTGCAAAGCAGACTTATGTATCACTGTCTGAGGCTGTGGTCACACACACACTAAAAAATCCACTTTCAGTCCACTTTCAGTGCACTTTCCAACGGGATCTTTACTGTGTGAACTGGCAAAATCCAGTTGAAAAGTGCATCGAAAATGGATTGTTGTGTGTGTGTGTGACCGCAGCCTGAATCCTGGCGTCGAATCCCAGTCTCTAAGTAAGAAAGAAACTGTAGTTCGAGGCTCCTCATTTCAGACATCTCCACAAACCACGGTTAGATCGAAGAGTTTCTAAATGGGGAACTGTTTGGGCTCAGCTGTGCGCACAAACAAAGGAGGGTAAGAAAGAGAGTGTCTAGAACAAACCAGACTCATTCTCATCGAATTTGGCATTTGGCCTTTTAAGGTCTTTCCTAAAAAGGCGACGGGCACTGTATCGGAAGCTGGGAACTCATTCTTTCACTCCAAGGGCCTGATGGACTTGCTGTGATGGACGAACTTCTGTGTACCCTCTGTGCCTGTGTGAGTGTTATGGGATAAGTGGGTAGGACATTACAGTCTAGCAGCTGACACTTTTTTAAGGCATCATGCCAGCGTAGCTCCAGTTGTGTCTCTCGCCTTTAAAAAACACAATTTCTTTTCTTCCATTTCCAGTAACAAAACATTGGGCAATGAAAATCGGAATTTCTAACACTGTCTTTCAGTTGCCGTTGGAGCCAACAAAAGTGCATTTCTCACTACCATTTTTAGATCAGCCTATAAGAAATCAGTATGCATCTATGCGTGCATTTGATACTAGTGCCTAGCCTTCATTTTGCTCCTGTTCAGGTTGTAAATGTTTCTCAAGGAATCACGTCATCGTTTGATATCTCTTCACCTTTTCTTCCCCCTCCGCCCTCTTTTAGGAACTGATTCCGCTCATATTGTGTACAGCTTGCCTCCATCCTGAACCCAAAGAAAGAGATCAGCTCCTCCACATCCTGTTCAACTTGATAAAAAGGCCAGATGATGAGCAAAGGTGTGTCCCTCTTCTGTTGTGCAGAAAGTTGATCTGTAATAGGTGGGCCAGTGCTGTGCTGTTAACTTTTTGTCCTTTGAAATTAAAGCAACTTTTTGACGACGGGCTATTTTGTGAAGGTGGCTGTACTTTTCCTGCTCCCCTTATGGATCAGAGGTGATCTTTGCGCATTGACTTCTAAGACACAGTGTTACATACAATGAACTATGGGTACCGTGGTTCCCCCCATCTCATATGTATTCTTGGTATATGAGAACCTTGGGAAATCCAGGCGCCTGCTGCAGGTGCAATGCCTGGAGAGCAGGGGGAGGCCATTGCGTTTGCATCCTTTCTCTGTCTCCTACCCCAGTGGTCTTCAGCCTTTCCAGACACAGGACTCACTCAGTTCTAATCATGTGACATCAGAGTCACATGACAGGAAGAGCAGAAGCCAGTGGAGGCCCGGTCCAGGACCATGGGTATTAGCCCAGTAGAGCTGGGTCAGGCAACACACGCTGAGGATGTGTACCATAGTGAGGAACAAGCCAAGCTCAGAGCTTTAGGTGTACAGCTTGCCTCCATCCTGAACCCAAAGAAAGAGATCAGCTCCTCCACATCCTGTTCAACTTGATAAAAAGGCCAGATGATGAGCAAAGGTGTGTCCCTCTTCTGTTGTGCAGAAAGTTGATCTGTAATAGGTGGGCCAGTGCTGTGCTGTTAACTTTTTGTCCTTTGAAATTAAAGCAACTTTTTGACGACGGGCTATTTTGTGAAGGTGGCTGTACTTTTCCTGCTCCCCTTATGGATCAGAGGTGATCTTTGCGCATCGACTTCTAAGACACAGTGTTACATACAATGAACTATGGGTACCGTGGTTCCCCCCATCTCATATGTATTCTTGGTATATGAGAACCTTGGGAAATCCAGGCGCCTGCTGCAGGTGCAACATTTTGCAATGCCTGGAGAGCAGGGGGAGGCCCTTACGTTTGCATCCTTTCTCTGTCTCCTCCCCCAGTGGTTTTCAGCCTTTCCAGACACAGGGCTCACTCAGTTGTAGTCATGTGACATCAGAGTCACATTACAGGAAGAGCAGAAGCCAGTGTTATGACCTCACTGGAGGCCCGGTCCAGGACCATGGGTAGTAGCCCAATAGAGCTGGGTCAGGCAACACAAGCTGAGGATGTGTACCATAGTGAGGAACAAGCCAAGCTCAGAGCTTTAGGAGAATCAGAGGTGATCTTTGCGCATTGACTTCTAAGACACAGTGTTACATACAATGAACTATGAGTACCGTGGTTCCCCCCATCTCATATGTATTCTTGTTATATGAGAACCTTGGGAAATCCAGGCGCCTGCTGCAGGTGCAATGCCTGGAGAGCAGGGGGAGGCCCTTGCGTTTGCATCCTTTCTCTGTCTCCTACCCCAGTGGTCTTCAGCCTTTCCAGACACAGGACTCACTCAGTTCTAATCATGTGACATCAGAGTCACATGACAGGAAGAGCAGAAGCCAGTGGAGGCCCGGTCCAGGACCATGGGTATTAGCCCAGTAGAGCTGGGTCAGGCAACACACGCCACACCCCTGACAGCACCGCTCAATAGCCCATTAGGCCGCACCACCATTTTACCAGAAGTGTGGTCATCCAGCCACACCCACCTTTCCCTTCTTATTCTGTTTACCTTTTTTGTTGTCAAAACCCAGGGCTTTTTTAAATTCCTTTGCACGTTAGGCCACACACCCCTAATGTAGCCAATCCTAATGCGTTCCTGCTGTTGGGTGTGGCCTATTATGCTAATGAGTTCCTGCTGGGCGTGGCCAACTTGGGAGCCAGCCGGAGCTCCGTTCCTGCCCAAAAATAGTACTGGTGTCTCCATTCTTCTTCCATCCACTGTTAATCGTGGTGTCACACCTGCCCCCCCCCCAAGGTGAACGCTAACTAAAACCGGTGCTTGAAACAAGGGGATTTTTATTTATTTATTTTGCTTTGTGATGAGAAGAAGAGTTTGGTTTTGTACCCTGCTTTTCTCTGCCTTAAGGAGTCTCAGAGCAGCTTCCAATCGCCTTCCCCTTCCTCTCCCCTCAGCAGGCACCTTGTGGGGGAAGTGGGGGCTGAGAGAGTCCTGAGAGAACCGTGACTGCCCCAAGGTTCACCCAGCGGGCTTCGTGTGGAGGAGGGAGCAATCAAACCCGGTCCTCCAGATTAGAGTCCGCCGCTCTAACCACTCGTACCACATTGGCTTAAATTAATAACAAACCATGCCCCATTATCCCTGATGTAGTGTTATGTTATGGCGAGTGGGAATCTGTATGGGGTAGAGGAGGTACCCAAAAGATACTCCCTGTCCCCACCTGTCAGGGGACTAATAAGGTCTGAGAATCCTAATGGCAGATTTGGGAGCTGAGGTTCGGAAATAAGGAAACCCCCAGATTTTGTGTCTTCCCCTAGCAGGCTGTGCTTCATGTGTCTAACCCTTCCTCAGTTCGCTTGATTGGAAAAATGCAAAATTCTCTGAGCACTTCTTCTGGCTTTGCGGCACAGATTTAGACCCAATCTGAAGATTCTTCCCGCAGAATTCTTAAAGCAAGATGATGGAAATACTAAATTGAGGGACGGGTATCCTTAAGAGGTTCAGGAGAATTTTTCTACCCCTGTATGCAATGGTAGGTAGTGAGGCAGTTCTCTGGCTTAAAGGTGCAGGTATGCAGCCGGTTAGCGTTACCCACTGGAAAAGGCAAAGGTTTCCGCCTTAACACGTCTGCCTTTTCTGAGGAAACCCCCACAACTGGACGTGCTAGCAAAAATATTTTGTGCTTCAGACTTGCGTAAAGGATCCACTTCTACAGGTTTTCTGCAGACTTTTATAGGGCCTGAATATCTCTGAAGGCTTTGTATACACAAAAAGGTCCTCGGGGGGGGGGGGGGGGGAGGTTGTGTGTGTGTGCTGCGTGCATGCCGGGAAGTCATGGCGACTTCTGGCAATGGGGCTTGGACATTTTTCAGAAAGGCAACTTGATAGCCCACCTCTGCATCCCGAGCCCTGGTATTCCTTGGAGGGTCTCCCTTCCATTACTTGCCAGGGTCAGGCCTGCTTTGCTTTGGAGATCTGACACGATTGGGCTTGCCCGAGCTATCATTGGTCGGGGCAAAAAGATCCTTTTTGAAAGGAATTGCAGCGAATATGTATAGCGTACACATTTCTAAAATTTTGCATAAGTTGTGTGATCTACTTTCTTCTTTACACCACAGTCCATTCTTCAAAATGTGGTGATTCGGGGCCACTTTAGTCATGACACTGTTTTCCCACCCTTGCACTCTGCACGGGCATAGATTCAGGTGTATCTGAAGAAGTATGCATGCACACGAAGGCTTATCCCAAGGATAAACCTGTGTTGGTCTAAAAGGTGTCCCTGGACTCCACCTTTGTTCTGCAAGGCAGTTTGTGAAGTGTGGTAGAACTGTTGCTTTTGCTGCTGGTAACTGTGGCGTTTCTGGATGCTTTGACTGTCTGATACAAATTGAGGAATTTCAGACAGACAATATAATCCGGAAGAGAAACGGTTCCCAAACGGTTTCTGGTCTGTCATTTCAGACAGAACCGTTTTAGAACCAGTTCCCTACCAGAATATATTTGTAATTTCAGACAAAACGGGGCTGAAGCGTTTTACCTGTCAACCGCTTCCAAGTAGTCTTCAGTTTCCTCTCCCGGTTCCAATGCGCTTTTCCCCACCATTTTTCGCCCGCGCGGGCGATCTCCGGTTTTTGTGGGGTTTTGAACTTTCACTTTATAGTGTTATAACGCTATAATGCAACAGCATTATATCAACCCCGTTGAAATGCCTGGAGTGTTTTGTTATAGTGCTATAGCGATATAGTGCTCTAAAGCGAATGTTCAAAAAAAAAAAGCTGGAGAGCGCCCGCACGGGCAAAAAACAGTGGGGGGGAAGTGGGAAAAAGCGGTGCAGCCTGAAATGGCAAACCGCTTCAGATCCAGCTCTTTATCGGAAGGGGAAAGCCATGTGTGAAATGGCAGCCCTATACCGGTTTACTCCATAACGGCTTCAAAACGGATTAAAAAGGGTAATGTGAAATTCCTCATTCTTTCGATGAAACTGTGTTGTCTGTCACATTTCCCATGGCAATAGGTTGTTGTTAGTCTCTCATGGAGATTATCTTCTGATCACTGTATCTCAAAAAGGACATTGCAGACCCGGGGAAAATACAGAGGACTAGGAGGGGGTTGGAGCACCTTCCCTATGAGGAAAGGTTGAAGAGTCTGGGACAACTGGGGAGGGGGGGAGATGATATTTATAAAATTATGCATGGGGTGGAGAGAGAGAGGACAAAGAGAACTTCTCTCTCTCTCTCCCAAAATACTAGAACTCAAGGGCATCCATTGAAGCTGATGGGCAGTAGGTTCGGGGCAGACAAAAGGAAATACTACTTTACACAGAGTGTGATAAAAACGTGGAATTCGCTGGCAGAGGATGTAGTGATGGCCACTGGAATTAACAGCTTTGAAAGGGGATTAGATAGATTCATGGAGGAGAAGTCTATCAGTGGCTACTAACCCTGGTGACTGAGGGGAACCTCCTCCACATTCAGAGGGACTAAGCTTCTGAATCCCAGTGCCAGGAGGCAACATTAGGGGAAGGCCTCAGCCTCTATGTGCCCTCCAAAGGAACTGGTTGGCCACTGTGTTGTCCCTGGTGCTGGACTAGATGGACCACTGGTCTGATCCAGCAGGGCTCTTCTTATGTTCTTACGCTGTGTTCTAAATAGGAAAAATGTCATGTGTAGGTCAGCCATTCGTGTTACGTTTCTGACTTTCAGAAAGTAGACATTAACAACAACTTCCGGCTATTACCCGAGTGGTCCTGTCTGGCTGTCCCGTCTTCTTTTAGCCCCTTAAGCAGGTCTCTGGGGAGGCAGCACACCAGTCCTCTAAATAAATAAATGTTTGATGATTCATGCAAGCATTGTAACAGGCTGAAGATTCTTATTTTGCAGGCAGATGATTCTGACGGGCTGTGTAGCATTTGCGCGCCATGTTGGACCGACACGTGTAGAAGCAGAACTTTTACCACAATGTTGGGAGCAGGTAATAGGATACGCCGCATCCTTTTTGTTCCCGGTTTACTAACTTTCAAGTGGTCCATCAGCAGTTCTATTTCCAATGCACTTTCACTATATTTAACATATGCTTCAAAAAAAAATTGTGTTGGTATATCAGATCTGCCTGACCCTCTTCACGTCAAGTGGGGTACAGAGGCGATCCCCACTCGGAAGTGGTGCAGGTGATCCCTGAGTGTTTCGATCTCCAATATTGTACTCCAGGGAGGGTTTGAAGTCATAACTGTCAATACAGATGAAGCAGAAGTAGCAACTCAAGCTGCATTACTCAGCAGATCCACGAAATTATTCCAACACGGCCAAAATAGTTTTATCAGGGTACGTAGCTGCCTTGCAGGTACTTCCATTGATGAAACCACTGATGGTTTTTGCTTGGTTCTTGTATGTACACCGAGAATCCCCAGTTAACGCTTAATGTGAGTTGAATCTTGTCACTGAATGGAAGCTTGTAGCAGCAAAGTGAAAAGGAACCTTTATTAAGTTTTATTTCTTTTTTGTTTGTTTTGTTCGACTTATATCTTGCTCTCCAATCCCGTTGCCAGGTTTTCTGGGGTGGGGTCCATCCGTCCACCAGCAGATGCCACTGAGTGTCATCAGCGTACTGGTGACGACCCAGCCTGAAACTCCACACCAGCTGGGCAAGGGGCCACAACATTGGGGAGAGAATAGCCCCTTGGGGGACACGACACAGTAATGAGTGTCATGGCAAACTCTCTCCCCTAGCACCATCCTCTGTCCCCAACCTTCGAGAAAGGAGTCAAACCCCTTCAGGGCTGTCCCCCTCACCCCCATGTTGGCAAGGCGGTGGGTCAACAGATCATAGTAGACTGTGTCAAACACTGCTGATAGACCGAGTAGCCACCAGCGGGGCTGACCCACCTTAATCCAGATGTCCGTGGAGACAGTCCGATCAGTGCTGTTTCCGTCCCATGGCCTGGGTGGAAACCCAGATTGGAATGGGTATGGTATTGATGCGTCCTCTAGGAAGCCCTGGAGCTGTTCTCCCTCCACTTTCTCAACTACCTCACTCAGGAACGAAAGGTTCGATACTGGGTGGTAGTTGGCCAGATCCATAGGATCCAGAGATGGTTTCTTTAAGAGCAATCGTACCACTGCCTCCTTTTAAACTCCCTGGGTAGACCCCTGAGCTCAGGCACAGATTTATAATGTCTCCCAGGGGGGGCCATATTCCATCTCCATTGGATTTGACCAGCCATGATGGACCACGGATCCAGGAGGCGAGTGGTCAGTTTCACAGCCCATATTGGACCTGAAGACGGCCAAGGGGCCGACCTGAAGGCGGCCATATTGGACCTGAAGATGGCCAAGGGGCCGACCTGAAGACGGCCATATTGGACCTGAAGACGGCCAAGGGGCCGACCTGAAGGCGGCCATATTGGACCTGAAGATGGCCAAGGGGCCGACCTGAAGACGGCCATATTGGACCTGAAGACGGCCAAGGGGCCGACCTGAAGGCGGCCATATTGGACCTGAAGATGGCCAAGGGGCCGACCTGAAGACGGCCATATTGGACCTGAAGACGGCCAAGGGGCCTCCAGTTCACAAACTGTATCAATACTGGCAGGCAGATCCTGGTGGAGTGACAAGATTGTATCCGCAAAAAAAAAAAAAAGAGCTCGCAAATGCCTCACAGCTGATTTCCAAATTTCTAATTCTTTGAGTTCCCTCAGGGAGGGATGTTAAGCATCTAATTACCCTAAACAATTGAGCTGGTCAAGAGCTAATGGACATGTTGGAAGCAGTGTAGAATTCTTTCTTTATTGCCTTCGCCACTACCTCATAGGATCTCATAAACGTCCTCTAGGGTGTTCTTGTATCTTCATCACGAGTCTGTCATCAGACTCGCTCTAGCTGCCTAAGTACCCGCTTCATCCCATGGAACTCCGGGGTATACCAGGGGGCTCATTTGGTGCGGGGACGAAGAGGGTGTTAGGGAGTGATCTGGTTGATGGCTTCAGAAAGATGGCTATGCCAATCTTCTACCAGCGCAACGAGTCGCCAGAGGGCATCAGTTCCCGCAGAGCATTCTGGAAACCCGTTGGATCCATTAGTTTCCATGGGCGAGCACAAATCCACTCGCTGCCCAAACAGGGAGGGGTTCGGGGTACTCAGACGAACCTTCAGAACGAAATGGTCTGACCACGGCACTGCATCAGGTGCAGTCAGATCCATGTCAATTCCCATGCCAAAGATCAAATCCAGTGTGTGGTTCACTTGATGCGTGGGATCTGATGCAGACTGAGAAACTCCGAGGCCTAGCCCAAGACCACCTCCAGCATGCTAGGCAGGATATCTGCTGGTGTGCTAGGCAGTCGGTACACCAGCCAGGTAGCCAAACTCTCTTCAGCATCCCATGCTAGGCCAACACTATCAATGCCAGCAATCTTTGGAGCAGGGAGGGGTCTGAAGGCAAATGTCTCATGAATGAGTCTCGCCACCACCCCGTCCTTTTGTCCAAGACTGATGGCGGACCGAAAACCGGGGGGGGGGGTTAGCTCTTTCAAGGTGACCATCTCACCTTCCCTCACCCAGGTCTTGGTCCCGCATGCCAAATCCGTCTTGTGCACTGCAAAATAGTTTTACAGTGTTGCTGTCTTGTTATTGATGGCCCTAACATTGCACAGTATCAGTGTCGGAGAAAGGTTTTCATTCCTAGCCCCACTACCAACATGCCTCGGGGTGGGATGAAGGTTGGAAGGAGACCAAGCATGTCCATATCTCCTTCTTCTTTTAAGTATGGTAATGCTTTTATTAATGCTGTGTGATAGGTAGAACGTAGAAGGCATAGAAGTGCGAGCGGAAAATGAAAGGAGTAAACTATTAATGGTTAAAGTTTTCCTTCCCGCAGATCAACCATAAATATCCAGAAAGGCGGCTGTTAGTGGCAGAGTCCTGTGGCGCATTAGCACCTTATCTTCCTGTAAGTGTTTTGTGTTTGGCTGTGAATATTTCTCTCACTTTTAAGTGTAAGGCTTCTGTCGAGCATCAGGTGTCTAAAATAGTCTGTTTTATTCCAAAGAGCAATTTAGATTCACAGAAGGGGCTGGTGCTAGTCCAGCAGAGTTTGATTATTTTGTTTCTTTGTTCTGGACCGACAGAATGATACGTTGTGGCCTGAACTGCTTTTGAAGCTTCCCTGATTTTTGACATCGCATTTAGGGAGATGCCTGTTCCAGAATGGGGCTTACAAAACTGCTTTGCAGACAATTGCCAGGACTGTATGCTGGTTATACCTATGGGTGGCAATCACACAGAACAGAGCAAGAGGGCCTCCGTGGCAAAATGTTCTGTTCAGAGTTAGCCCAACATTTTTTTAGCGTATTCTTAAAAAAAAACAAAACTCTTTATTAGGATATCACAATAGGTAAACTTATAATTCATGTAACAAGTAATCTCATATCCTTTTTTCTTCCATATCCCCCCCCCCCTTCTGACTTCCCGCAGTGCTCAAACTTCTCATTCCCCCTTAGGTCAACCATATCTCTTTATCTATAGATCTATATATACGTTTAAACTTAATCTAGATAGTTCTCAGTCTTAATAATTGTCTAAGCAAAATAAATTGCTTTTAACGTCCTCTTTTTTTAGCGTATTCTAATTGCATGCCCCTGGGAGATATTCAGTTATAGGCCTAGACAGTTTCTTTTTTGATGAATAAACATTGTTACACCGTTATACTGACCAGCAGTCATCATTCTTTGTTTTATAAGTGTGTTTACTGTTGCTGTATGTCCTATTAATTGACTTGTGTTCCCGCTTTCTATGCAACGCAAATAAGTCTCTGCTTCCGCGTTTTCAGAAAGAGATTCGTAGTTCCTTGGTGCTTTCTATGCTGCAGCAAATGCTGATGGAAGACAAGGCAGATCTGGTACGAGAAGCTGTGATCAAAAGCCTCGGCATCATCATGGGCTACATTGATGACCCAGACAAATACCAACAGGTACAGTATCTGATTGCAGTTACGCGCAGGTGACCGTTCTGTGAGACAGATGAATCAGCTCTGAAGATACTTTGCAAGCTTGGTACCAAGACAGGAGCCAGCCTAAAGGAGGGGATATCCTGTAAAACTGCTAACTCTCGTAGCTCGTTCCGAGCCGATGGCCTGTGATCTGCCTATTTTTATCAAACATCTTGTACACCGAGGATGCTTTTCCAAATACTAAGTGGATTCTGCAAAAGAAGATGTGTAATATAGACCCAGTATTCATCGTACCCACCTGACAGGCAAATATATATAGCCTGCCCCAAGGGTGTGCTTTGTGTAGCCTTTATTATGGACTTAAAGGTCATGCCTGAGTCCCTCAGAGAGCCTTTTCCACCCAGCGCAGACTTTTGTATTCAGTACTCATCGTATTTTGCTCTGTAAGTTGGACACATTTGAAATGGGTCTTCTGTCCATCCTTTCTTCTGAAGGCGTGAAGCAGGTTCAGCTCAAAAATCTAAACAATACGAGTTCCTAGACCAGTGGTTCTCAACCTTCCTAATGCCGCGACCCTTTAATACAGTTCCTCATATGGTGGTGACCCCCCAACCATAAAATTATTTTCGTTGCTATGCCACTGTTATGAATCGTAATGTAAATATCTGATATGCAGGATGTGTTTTCGTCGTTACAAATTGAACATAATTAAAGCATGGTGATTAATCACAAAAACAATAAGACCATCGGAAATTTGTGTTTTCAGATGGTCTTAGGCGACCCCTGTGAAAGGGTCGTTCGACCCCCAAAGGGGTCCCAACCCACAGGTTGAGAACCGCTGTCCTAGACTCTTTTGTTCTCATCCAAATGAATTCACTTCCTAGCACAGAGAAATATTTCCATTTGGGGGTTTGTTTGTTTTTTAGATGTCAGAATTTGTTCTTTAGTCATCTGGGCTTTTCCCAGCCTCGTCTCTTTTCCCATTGGAAAACTTCCCCACTGCTCATAAAGCCCCCTTTATCCCATGAAGGCCACACTGGGTCCCCTGATCCTCGTGGCCTCTTAATCATCCCCTGTCCAGTTACCCCATAATCTGAAATGGCCCTCCCTGCCCCAACATCCTCTTCCAAGGTAAACCGAAGAAGAGACATTAGACCCCCTCCTCATACTTACCAAGCCTATGAAATTGTCAGAATAAATGACCTTTCAAGCAATTAAGT